CTTTAGGAGGAGAAATAAAGAATCTAAAATGAAAATTCAGGCAATCAGATCAGACAGGACACACAGGGCTAAGAAAGACCCTTTTGTAGCTTAAAATCCTCTAAATAAGTATTCTCCTAAGGCATCATCCAGGGACGAAATTTTAAAGGAACAGAGCAAGTCAAAATTTGTTTTCTGATCACATTTCCATGCTTTTTCAAGGTGCTGGCTGGAATCCACAGCTGTGCTTTAGCCCCAGCTTCTCACATTTCCTCTGCCCTGCATTTATTTCTGTGTGTTTAAGCCCAAATCCTTTTTTTTTTTTTTTTGGTCTTTTTGAGACAGGGTCTCCCTCTAGCCCCAGCTGGCCTGGATTCACTATGGAGACCAGGCTGGCCCCGAACTCCCAGAGATCCGCCTCTGCCTCCCAAGTGCTGGGATTAAAGGCGTGCGCCACCACGCCTAGCTCCTTTTTTTTTTCTTTTTTTTTTTTTTTTTTTTTTTTTTTTTTTTTAAACAACACTCAGCATAATGCCAATAAAATGTTTTCTACTGATAGTTTTCAGAGGTATTTTTCTAACCTAAGTCAAGTTGACTCCATTTTTTATTCAAGAGACAGAAACATTTTTAACTAAGTCAAAGTACTGGTGTGGGGGGAACCTTAAATTATTGGGTAGGAAAATTTACTCAGCTGAACTTATAAATTCAATTTAATGTCAAAGAAAGTTCATATTCTCGTGACTAAACACCCCCCATTTTATGTCACGATTCCCTCTGGAAAATAGCTTAAAAGATCCTGAAAGTCACAGAGATTCAAATTAATGAATTTTATAGTTTTGAGCATGGTGTCAGTTCATATTTAAGAGACATGCTGTCCCAAACTGAATGACATACGCCATCTAAAGAAACAAGTTCTAAAAAACAAATTTCAAAGCTATTAAACATCCTGATTGGTTTTTGAAGTTGTCCATAGTTATACAAACACATGTACAAGTACATACACATGCATACATACATATACATATGTACACCCATATGCATATATACATTTATATATTTAAGGAAATTCAGTGTTATCTCTAAGCATTTCTTTTAATTCTTTTTAAAACTCAACCCCTCAAGGTCCCAGAGCTCCTTGCAGCTGGTGCATCCTGCCTTTCACTCCTGCCTGTAGTAATCTAGTGCAAACACATCACCAGGCTCTGGCTCAGCAGTGGGTCTCTGATGCAGGCACAATGATCCAAGGAGAGGAAGCACGGCCACAGCAGTTCCCACTGCACTGTCAGTCTGTGCATTCACTGAGTGTCCACACAGAGGCTCTGCAGGAGCACCACCTGTATTTACCTGCTCTTTGCAGATGACCCCAAGGCTCCATAAACAGAGCAAAAGTTGTCTCTGGTTTCTTTCAAACACCACTCTATTACTGTTGAGTACTTCAAAGAGCAGAGGGCCTTACTGGGTACCCAACATGTCTCAGTGCTTGGCAATAAGATCACCAAAGTTAACCCTCCTCTCAGCATATAACACACACCTCTCCTGGAGAATCCCAGGATTTTCACTGGGCCTGATACAGTAAGGAGAACTATAGAGAGCCCCATGAGATGGGAGAGGCTGCCCCTAAGGGCTAGAGACTTGATTCCCATTAGAATTAGAATCCAGGGAGGTTATTTGCTCTGGGCCACACAGGGTTGTAACACTTACTGTGACCTGGGGCTCAGTTACTCAACAATGCTGAATGCTATCTCAGCCTGCACAGGGCAGTGACTCAGAGTTGCTGGACTGCAAACTAGACTGAGTTCTCAGTGTTCAGGACAATGGTCGCAGCAGGAGTACTAAGCTTAGTAACTTTCTCCCAAGCCTTTGAGTCTTCTAAATTCAGGGAGAATCTAAAACTTCAGCCCCTAAGCCGTTAGACCTACACCTGGCTGAGGAAAAACATGACCTGAGGATTGTATCTCCTTAAGCCACCAAGAAGCCCCAAGCTCTGTAAATAAATGGTGTTTCTTGATTTCTTCCTGCTCCCAAATAGGTCACTGCCCCAGGCTGCCAAACTGTGAGTAATTCAGAGAATTCTATGCCAGCTAAATTTCAGAGGCTTGATTTATAGGGACGCTTTCATTTTTATTGAAGCATTTTCACTCCTATCAAATGATTATACTTATATCTCCCAAAAGAGAACCTCATAAATGTTACACGTTCTGTTGTAGGGCTCAAAGCTGGCTAATATACCAGGGCACTTACCTCTTTCAAATTGTAGCTTTTTATATCTTTGCATAATTTCAGCTGCAACCATGCACTCGATCTGAAAGAAAATATAAACACAAGGAATGTAATACACCAGGGGCTAGAATACAACAGGACACACGTCCATGCAAAACCTACAGCATCCTGATAAGCCCATGATGGCCCACCACCACACAGGCAGACCCTCATGTTCCCTGCACATGCCTCATTCTCTTGCAGGTGGCCCTGTTTAGGGCAGGCAGCATCAGGGCAGCTAATCGCAGTTTCCAGTCCTTCTTTGATCAAGAGCTCAACATACTGTTTCAGGCACTGAAAGAAAAACAGAAATGTTTGTAAACATCTTTATTTCCCAAACACCAAAGACAGAGTGATGCATTAAGAACTAGCCGGTCATCGGTTGGTGGAGTGTTGTCTAGTGTGTAAAGCCCTGTGTTCAAAATCCAGCATAAAACCAGGCAGGCTGCGCAGGGAGTTTAAGTCTAGCCTTGGCTACATGAGATCCTGTCTCAAACAAGAAAAAGGTTGATAAAGCATATTGTTTCATTAGAAATGTTTACGCATACACACACACACACACACACACACGATCTTTAAATTTTCTTTTTGTTTTTTTCCCAGAGCTGAGGGCCAAACCCAGGGCCTTGTTTTTGCTAAGTAAGTGTTCTACCACCTAACTAAATCCCTAACCCCCTATTTATTTTATTCTTAATTATGTGTATGTGTGTGACCGTGGATTTGTGAGCATGAGCGCAGTGCCCACGGAAGCCAAAAGAACATGTCTGATCCCCTGCCGCGGGAGTTCCAGACAGCCGTGAGCCTCCTCCCTTGGGTGCTGGGAACCAAACGCATATTTTCTGAGACAGCAGCAAGCACTCTTAACCACTGAGCTATCTCTCCAGCCAATGAAGTTGTATATTTTTACCATGCAGCTCATGACAACCAACAGGTTAGGGATTTAGAGGCTTTATTCATTTGTGGGTTCCCTAATCTGTACCAGGGATCATAGTCTGGTTCACGGAGTTGAAGCAAGAGTAAAACTTCAGCATACGGTCTCAGCACCAAAGTCCAATATTCTAATAATAAAGAGAAAGGCAGCTAAGGGCTGCTGGTAGGCTTGACCTCACTGGTGATGTGAGACAGTGTGTAAAATTCTTATCCTCCATCATTTCATCCAACCCTTCAGACATCAGCAAAGGCATGACTGTTCCATCTTCCAGATGTGAAAACTAAGTCATCTAAGATGGAATTTGGGGCTGGCAAGATGACTTAGTAGTTAAAGCACTTGCTGGGCAAACCTGATGACTAGAAAGGGAGGAAGGGAGAGAGGCTGAGTCAAGGCCAACCTCCTAAAAAGCCATTCCCACAGCGCCTCTCCAGAGCCATGACTTCATGTGCAAATTATTTGCCCTGGGCTCTAAGAAGAGGCCACTGCACCCTCAGTCTCAGCATTCTGGATTGGCCTGGGCCCTGATGACTACAGGAGCTGAACATAGCCCAGATACATCTACCTTTTGACAATCCAACACTTCTGAAGAGAGCTCTTAGAGCAGTGCATGTGGATGAGAGATGCTTTGGAGTTCTATTTGAGGTATGAGATGACAGAGTTATCAGAAACAAACACACTATCATAGGAGGCTGTCCTAAGACAGGGTGGACAGGTGACCAGGAAAAGACAGACGTATCACTGAGTCTCTGTCAGCCCTACTCCCTAACCTGGGCAACACTGCTGTCCTGCTGTGTACAAAGTGACAGTGCTTGGTTTCATAATAAAGGGCTGTTGCAATGGCCTGTGTGTGGCTGATATGGAAGTAGCTGGCATACCTGTCAATGGGTGGGGTAATAAGAGGATGCAGGACCCTTGTGGACTTTGAAGCCAGGCAGACTCAGGCAATCCTGGTCCCTGTACAGAGACCAGAGACCATGGGCAGGTCCTTGGTACATTTGGGCCATAGCTCTCCAGATGATAAAACAGGAGTGCCTGCCTTGCTGGGCTTTCATGACAGTAAGAAATAAAGAGTATTCCAGTGCCTGGCACAAATCCTGGTAGAGGAGCTAAGTAAGCAGGGCTGTCGTCTCATGTGTCCATCTTCAAGATACGCCTCTTACAGTTACAGGCATTAAAAAAAAAGTCCAAACCCTTAGCAACAAGATCATTGCTCTACTGTCTATAATTAAATCTGTTTAATTGGATCTCTAGAGGATCCCGGAATGCTTGAAGCCAGTGAAATGCTGAAAACTCCTACAACACCGGCCAGAGTCGGATATGACAGAGCATTATTCTCTCTAAGAACCAAAACACAACAATTAAAGCAGGTGTGAGATGCACACCCTGGGGAAGTCTTGAAACTATATTGTGTAAGAGCTTGCATATGGCTGCAAGGGGTGAGTCACGTCTGGATGAACGCTTCCTAAGAGCGGGCTCCGCAGGCCACTGGAATGCATCTATGAGCAGTGTGCACCGTGATTATGCCCTGGGAATATTGATTTGTTTATTACACAGAGTCAGATGAAGTTCTGAGTGCCTGCTCTGCATCCATCAAAAACAGGCCCGTTCTTTTTCCAAATGTAAAGTGGGTCATGACTCACAGGCCACGTTTTCCAATCTAATAGCAAAAAGATGTCTTCAAATGAACCAAAAAATAGGTGATCAGAGAAACATTTCTAACAATAAATATATACAGCCCCCAAACAGAAATGGATGCAGTTTCTGATATTTATCAGCTTTCTGTAGTCAAATGCCTTTGAAGTACCAGACTCTGTGTCAGTCACTTTGCCTCTGTTGGCCCAATAAACAGACACAAGAGCCACAGGCGTTATTATCAGTACCATTTACCACCGTGAAATCCAGGGCCAGGGAGTTAAAAGCCTCCTGCCCCAAGGCCACACTCTGCAAATACAGGCACTAAGTCTCTAAACTGTGTGTGCCAAACTCCAAGGTTGGCACCAATTTTTTTGTTATTTTAAATTTTTTTCCCTATTTCTTCCTCAGTTAAGAACTCTTTAAATGGGATCTGATGACTCAAGCCTATAATCTCAGCACTTGGAGGCTGAGGCAAGAGTATAATGAGTTAAGGTCACCTTGGGCTACATAGGGAGTTTTTGTAACTGTATAACTGGTTACCCTGAACTACAGAGCAAAAGTCTATTTCAGAAAACCAAAAACCACACATACATAAAAAACTCTCATAAGTAATCACTTATAAAGCCTTTTCCATTACTTCATTAACTTTTTCATAAAACAACAATTATATGTACTTTAAATTGACAAGGCCTGAGCCAACACAGAGGTATGTGGCGCTACATACAGATGATCCCAGACAGCAAGACCACCCAGCTTAGCGTGGAAGATGCTGTCACATACTGGGGAGACCCTTCCTGGGGATATATAAGTGGCTACCCCAGAGGTGCTGTTTAGTTTTTATTCTCAACTTGACATAAACCTAGGGTCATCTGGGAAGAGGGAACTTCATTTACAGAAGCTCTACAATCAACTTGTCCTGTGACCAAGTCTGTGAGAGAGTGTCTTGACTGTTGATTGATGTGGGAGGGCTCTGCCCACTGTGGGCAGTGCCTTTCCTAGGCAGGTGGGCCTCGTCTATGTAAGAAATGGAGCTGTGAGCCTGGGAGCAAGGCAGTAGGCAGCATTCCTCCATAGTTCCTGCTTCAAGTTCCTGCCCTGATGAAGTTCTTGCCCTACTCAAGTTCCTGCCCTGACTTCTCTCCCTACCCTGACTTCCCTCAAGGATGGATTGTAACCTTTAAGATAAATGAGTTCATTCCTCCTCAAGTTGTATTTGGTCATGGTGTTTATCACAGCAGTAGAAAGCAAACTAGAATACCAGGCTATGGAGGCACTATCCCCTGGGGTCAGCAGCTTGAGAGAGGAAAAGTTGGTCCCAGGGACAAAGGAACTCCAGCCACAGGCTATGTAAAGGGAGCAAGGGGGAGCAGCATTGAAGCCGCAGAATGTTCCAGGCATTACACTTTCCACCCTGGCTTCCAACTCTTTGAAACTTGATGAGAAGACAGCTCTGCTGATTGGCCAGGACACCCTCCTAAGTCAGAAGTTTCCTGCCAAAGAAGAGTGAGCCACATGCAACCACAGAGACACATCTGCCTTGCCTAAAACGACAGCAAGTCTGAACTGCAGCTGTTTTCTCCTTGAAGGTCTGCTGGCTACTGACTGCCCCACTAACAGGAAAAATCCTAAGAACTGTGGCTCATGGGTACACAAGTGGCTTAGGCTTATCCCAACCATGATTTACAAAGACCATCCATAGGCAGATGCAAACCAAAGCAGTAGGGCCCCAAGAATAGTGAATAGGGAGCAAAGGCTCCAGAATCAGAGCTGGCTTTGGATCCCATCTCACCCATGAACCTGTCTTGTCACAAGAGTCAGAAACCTCTATCTGGGAACCCCTGCCCTAGGGTGTGGGGTTAGCTTGACAGACACTGGAAATGTCCAGCCCCAGGGATCCAAAGACATGGTGCTGCGGGCCACTGTTAGAACTCCTACATAGACTCCTGGTATTTCAAAATCAGAGCTAACTGGTCTGTTTCTCCTCTATTAGATGGCGGTTTCTCTGAAAGTCAAAACAGTTTATCATTTATCTTTCTATTCCTCACACCTAACATTGCCTGTCAGTGGTCAGTGGTGAATTGGTCCTGTACAGATCAACAGATAATTGAGCCAGATACCTGGCCACAGACATGCTCTGGATCTCAGCAGAACTGGCAACAAAGGACAGTTGTGAGCTCCCCACACAGTACAGCAGTGCAGCTCAGCTGCAGAACCTAAGTCTGGCCCTTTCCACAAGGGACCATCCAGGACAGGTTCCCGATGAGCCCTCAGGGGGCTGATAGCTGAAGGGCTCGACCTTCTGAAGACAGTTTCATGGGAACCTTGAGTGGCCTTGGAAACCCAGAGTAAACTTCCCATACATTCCACAGTGCCTCTTCTGGCAAAGATCATGGTCCTCAAGGCTGCGGCGGGACCTAATGTCAGTCATCAGTCACTATATCCAAAACAGGAAGTTTCTTCTGCAAAATTAATGTAATAAAAATAAAATACAGACCTTACATATAAAAAGAGAAGAAAAATTCTCATATGTGTTAGTCTGTGCTCCATCCAAACCAGAGATCCTGTGTCTCTAAAACAAATATGGACTGAGCTCCAATGCCCAGCTCTGGCACTGGTTAAATGCATGCCACCACCTTCTGCGCCTTGCATCGGGATGGAGATTCTGCAACCTGTACTACTCTTCCCAAGGCTTCTGGGATGGGTTCCTTCAACTGCAGAGCAAGCATTC